AGATAATTTAGGCTTCTGACGGCACACTGATTCATATTCAGTAACGCCGTCTTGAACGTTGTGTGGAACATTTTAAGGCACATTTCCGCTGACCCCCTTTGACATAAAACCTCCCCATATCTGCTTCAACTGGGCTAGTACTGCCAGTTGACCAAAGGTACAAGGCTTCGGGCTCCCGACGGATTGTCCCTACCGGTTTCAAAGGATGGAGGTTCAGCTTTCGTTCCGTAGTTGAAAACACTCCTGGGCTCAATGTGAAAGAGAGAAGAGGTTCCAACTGTATGGCGTGAATCGGTGATTATACGGATTCACAAGAAAGGCGATAGGTCCACTTGTGAAAATCACAGAGGAGTAAGTTTAATCAACAAGATTTGTAAAATTCTCGCTAGTACTGTACTCCGTCGGTTGTTTGCCGCACACGCCAGAACCAAGATGGTTGTAGACCTGGTCGGGGATGTATGGACCACATCTTCACTCTTGGTCAAATCCTAGAACACAGAAAATCATTTCGTAGACTTAATACTTCCATCTTCCTCGATCTGAAAGCGGCTTTCGACTAAGTCGACCGCTCTAAACTCTGACGCTGCCTTTCCCTGAAAGATAAACCCGAGAAGTTTATTTCAACATTACGACCTCTTTATATTAATAGCCGAAGTCGAGTCTGAACTTATCGCACGTTTTCACCCGAGTTCACTTCAGAAAGTGGCGTCCGTCAGGGTTGCCCTCTCTTGCTGTGTTTATATTTAATTTTGTGATAGATTTATTTCTTGAAACAGCCCTATCCTGCGAGGATAGCGGTAACGATTTATTCCCGAGTTTGCTCTCGACTATGCTGACGACATTGTGCTACTAAGTGAAGATCCAGCTAAGTTACAAAATCTTCTGGATAGTTTGAGTGCTAGTGTAGCCATGTTCGGTATGCGTTTTGCACCTTTGAAATGTAAAATGCTGATAAGAAAATTGGGCTTGTCCAGCCCCCAACCTCCATCTGACTAGGGTAATAGTAGACGAAGTAGACCAGCTCTGCTATCTGGGCAGCTATATCTCATAACCACATAAGGTCTCAATAGGTTGAATGTGGTAGTGAGCCAGGGAGTCGTAAAGAGTGGCGTTCATGCATCTACTCATTATTCTTGTAACATCAGTCTATATAAATCCAATTGGGCGACCAAAAGACAGCGATATTCAATGTTTTCCCATCCTGCCGACGATTTTAGTCAACTAAAACGAAGCAGAATTAGTGGTTTATGTTTATAAAAACTGAACCTAAAGGTGTCTAGGGAATCGAAGTGGTAAACCACATTAGGCTTCGATGGGATGGGCTTGATATAGACAGAAACGACATCCAAGCTATCTACTATCAAAGATTCTACGTTGCGATTCATAACTCACAAACTCACGTGACTAGAATATGCTATAAATAGGCAACCGACCAGCTGATTAGGAACGATTTGCATTTCATTGAAATGAGCAGATAGAAGCACGAGGAATGGCTGAACAGCAGTGCACCTACGTACATATCATGCGTAAACACATGTTCACGAACTTCATTTACTAGTAAGACCAATGCTATGAGACACATTTCCAGAAGCGACAACAAACTCTAACCGGTCTGTTTACTAGCAGTGTTACATATTATGGTTCCCGGCTTCTATATGATAACCAGCCCAACGTGAGCAATCCCAAGCAAACCCTAGTTCCACGTTTATGAACAATAGTTGCGCATTGCTTTGGGTGAGTAAATTCTCGGAATTTCCAAACAACAGCAATATTGGCAAAACTCGCACAACAGCAAAACTTCGCCAGCCACTGAACTATTTGATGTTCCCGAAACTTCGATCAGTGATACAGGTGAGTGGTTTTGTTCATCACGGATTGTAGGATTCTACGTTCCGATTGTTATTAAACACATACCCGTATTGCCTTTTTATGTTCCATGAAACGAAAAACGAAGTTTCCAGGATGAATTTAAATACACCGAACACAAGAGGAAAAATGAAGAACACGCCTGGGAGTCATTGAGAGGCTCCTTTTATTGTATCTCATGAAGTCATATCCATCAATTCTCATCAGTTAGGCGAAGAGGTCTTCTCAAAGCTTAACTTCCAACTAAGTGACAACAAAAAGATAACGAAACATATCAGAATGTCGATTTTTAAACTACATTGAGCACCGAGGATTACGCATATAATGATGATCATGGACTTGCAGCATTGTATACTGTAAAACACGCTTCCTAATAAACTTCAGTAGAAGATACCGGGACAGTAGTGCTGAAAGCTTTAGGGTAAATACGCTTCCAAATATTGTGACCATAAGCATTTTCCCAGTATTCTGCTCAGGTAAGTGCTGCGAGATGAAAAGCTTTTGAAGATGACTTGATTCACTACAGCAGTGGGTCACTCGTTCATTTCGCTTTATGGAATGTGGCATAAACCTAAAACGACCGAATGAATTAGTTGTGATATCCATAAGCTTCTCGTTAGCGAGAATGACAATCATTAATCAAAACACTCGGTATATCGAAGGAA